CTCTCCTGTCTCCTCTTATCGGGTGTCGTGACTCTCTGAAAACATCTCACTCTGAAAAGTTAAGTTTTGGGTTCGTTCGTTTTTCGTTATTTTTTTTTTTTTAATTATTATTTTTTTGTAAGTGCCATTTGTATAACTTAAATAAAGAAATAGCTTCAAATGGAGAAAGATGAATAAAAAATAAAACCTGCATTCGGATTCAAACTGGTGTGTGGTCTATTGGGGCTGCAACAGCCTTTGAGTGAGAGGCACAAGCCTGAGCATGGAGATTTGGGGTGGTGGAGCCTTTGGGGGCCAAACTGCCTCATGAAGATTGAGCTGGTTTGAGGGAGCTGAGGAGTTGGTGGTAAGGGAATGGTGACCAACAAGTTCATCTCCATGGAGCAAGGCATAAAGCTAAAGCCAAAGCCAGCTGGAGGCTGGGCCACCTCTGGAGGTGCTCAGAGCAGCCTGAAGCCTCTGAGCCCATGGGGATCTTTGGGGATAGGTCAAGGGCAAAACCACCTCCTGCAATCCAGCTCTCCTGCCCTCACAGCCAGGAGCAAAGCCACGGCCCCAGGGAGATTTTTTTTCCTCCTGACTCAGGTGTTTCACCTCTATGTGACGGCCCTGCCAAGAGGGAAGAGCAATGGGATGTTGGTTTTGGGTGCACAGCTTGGTACTTTGGAAGCAATCACCTCCTCCACTTGGTGATAGGGAGAAGGGGAAGATGAACTAAGGAGGGAAGGAGCCCAGCCCAGCCCACACGTCCTGCCAGAGGAGCCTGGATAGCTGGGATTTTCCTCCAGCACCCCTGGGACAGCTGAAACCAGCCCAGAAACTCAACCAACCCACTCAGGTGTGAGGTGATGCTGCAGTTTCAGCTGTGAAGAGAGTGTGCACCATGTGCTTATGGACAGTCTGGGGCCAACTCTGTCACAGGCACTGAGAGCAGCCAGCCCTTCCCTGCCCTTCAGCAGCACAGCTGGCTGGGCACTGCAGGGCACTGATGAGCTCCTGTTTGGCCTCAAAAATGTAAAGCTGGTTTGGTAAAAGCAAAGTTTGGCAAAGCAGGAGCTGAGCAGCTCCCCCCAGACACACACTGCAGGGGGATGGGGGTTAGAACACAGCAGCAAACCCCAAAGGAAGGAAGGATGTTCGTTCCTGACTATAAACAGGGAGAAATCAGGGCAGTGCAGGAAATGCTGAGCAGCTCCGATTGCCATGAGCTCACCCTTGCTGTGCCATCTGTGTGCATGGGCAAACCTGGTCATGACACCACCAGTGACACCTCCCCAGCCCGGGCAGGAGGCAGGAGGGAGGTTTGCTGGCTCAGCTGGTGGGTGCCCACACAGGGAAGAGGCTGTGGAGCTGCAGGGAGGACTTTCACCCTTGCCCTCTCCCCCAGCTGCCAATACACATTTCCTTTTCCCCTTCAGGCTGCATTCTGCACTTACCATCATTTACCACCACTCCTGCAAGAGGGAAACCCCCAGCCTTCCCCCCATCCTGGTTTCCATTTAAAGGAATGACTGGAAACCATTTTATATCCCATCCAGCTTTTCCTAGGGAGCATGTGGAACATATTAAGCTGTTCCAGGAGGGTCAAATGGGTTTTGCCTTGCAACCTGTGGAGTTTTCACAGGCACAGGCTGGGATCTGGCCCCACTCCCTGGCACTATCCCAGCACCAGGCTGGCACAGGCAGGAGGGAGGACAATGTTTCAGCTGTAGGAAAAGCACAGAGGTAAAAGCCAGAGTGCACAAATTTATTTACAAAAAATTCAAATTACAATATAATACAGGAACTTTTTACACACAGAATATTAGAGCTGTTTACTACCAGAATGTAAATAAAAATATTTTTCGGCTTTTTTTTCCTTTTTCTTTTTTAATAAACCACCTATTTATTTTCAGCTATCGTTATACAAAGTTGCAGAACATGCACATCTTTACAGGGTTTTTTTCTTTTAATATAACGTTTTGCTAAGTGCAAATACTAAGTTTCTCTCTCCACCTTTAAGGCAAGTAAGTGGGACACTGCAATTAGCCATAAGAAGTACCTGTTATGGGATCAGCCTGGACACAGCAACCTCCCTGTCACCTTTTAACCTTTCAAACCTTTTAACTACTGGTTCCAAGGCCTGTGGGGCAGGAGGGAAAACAGGATGTAGGAGTTAGAGACCAGGTCACAGCTGGTCTGGTGGCTGTGCAGTAAGTTTTGGGCTTTTTTCTTCTTGGTTTTTTTTTAATTAGATAAACCAACACAGATGCAAATGCTATCAGAAACCGTAACGTGAGGTCTCTCAGGTTAGAGGGAAGGAGCAGCCAAGGGGTTTGGCTGCAAGTTTTCAGTGCAATGGGTGTTTCCTTGGGGAGAGGAGCAGTGCTGGGAGCACAGCAGAGCCTTGGGGTGGCTGAAGGACTGAGCCCATTGCTGGGCACAGGACACCTCCACATCACAGACCAGCCACCAATTTATCTTCTCTCAGACACAAATAAACTCTAGGGTTTGGCAGGGGACATGGGAATCACAGTCCTCCCGTCCCCCTGCATCCACCAGGCTCCTCCAGGACTGTGACTGCCACAGCAGCAGTGACCCCGATGGATCACAGTCACTAACCTCCCCTTGTCACCTCTGCCTGACACTTCTCCATCTCCCTTGCTCCACCTCCACACTTCCCCCTGCCAAGGCTCAGTTCTCAATGCCCACACATCCTTAGACATGCACCAAAAGATGGGACTAGACCACCATCACACTTAATTCAGTTTGGGTCACTGGTTCAGTGCCCTGGCTGCTGTCCCTCCCCCCTGCCTGACACCCTGTGCACAGGCAGGTGACAACCCCAGCACCCTCCTGGGGAAGGGCACATGCCTCAGAGAGCCTGGAGGGCTCATCCAAACCAGTCCAGAAAATCTCACCTATTGAATAAACAGGATTGCCTCTCTGTATGGGAAGCCATCACTGCTTCTTCTGACTTATCTTACCACCTGCTAATGTTGTGACAGTCCTCATCCTCAAAATCCAACAGGATGCCCTGCTCCTGGCTACTGCAGGAATCACTTGGTGCAAGGCAGGATTTAAACCTGGCTAAAGCCCAGCTGAGCAGCAAGTGATAAAGCTCCTGCAGCTCCCAGACTGTTGCCAGAAATAAATTAACACAAAACTAAAAATTCCAGCAGCAAGGGAATAACAGTTGGTTATTAATGCTGGAAAGACCACGGCATGGAGGAGCCAAACAGAGCACTCCACAGGGAACAATTAGACTGACAGGCAACAGGAAAAATTGACTTAGCTCCAAAAGGCATAGAAGCCCCTCTGGGAGACCTTCCTGGGGACAACAGTCCCTACGTGCTGTCCCAGGCCATGGTGGAGGCTGTCCCTGGTCCAGGAGCTTCCCACCAACACCCTGTGCCCAGTGCTCCTGCATGCCCGAGGGGATGCTGGAGCTGGAGAGCTGCACGTGGGGGTCTGGCAGGAGCTGTGAGGTGGAGACAGGGAGTTTTACCTGAAAAAACAAATAAACTCACAGAACACCTGGATGCTCAAATACAGAGGGGACCAACAGGAGGGGAAATGCACCCAGGGGGTTCCCAGCAGGACAGAACAGGATGAAGCCTAGACCAAACCATTTGGAGAACAACAGCATAAGTGGGCTGCTAAAAGCCAGCCCAACATTCCTGGGAAGACTTTTTTTTTTTCCACAACTCTTTTCTAGAGGAGGCCTGTACCAGACAGCACAGCAAGGGGCTGTGTGGGGAAAGGGCCCTGTGCCACCCTCCTCCCACAGCCCAGCACTGCATCCCCCACTCCTCACAAGGAAGTCTTGCGTTTCCCTCACTTCCTAAGCCCAGCAATATTCAGGTTTAACTTTTAACACGCTTTGCTGAAGCCAGTTAAGCTGACACACACACTTTCAGAAGTTCTTTAGCTCCATGGAAGCAGCAGCTTCCTGCAGCATGAGGCTACAGCTGCCCCTTGGGCAGTGGGGTTGGGGTACAGGTGCTCCCAGATCACTGTGTCTGCATGCATGGCTACAGGGGTCATTCCTAATTTTCCTGCACATAGCACTGCCTACACATCTATCCAGGTGTTTCCCAGGCAGTTTTTGCAATACAGGGCACAGCTTCAGCTCTAGGTTGCTCCCAGCAGCTGCCTGAGGATTGCTGCCAGAAGCTGGGGGAGGTTTGGGATGCCAGATGAGAAAAGGAAAACAAAGGCCACATTTTGGAAGCTGAGGGGGACCCACCTCTGGGGGGGAAAAAAAAACCTGAGCTCTTCAAAGGAGGCAAGTTCAGTCCAGTCAAAGATTTGGGTGTCTGAAGCTCCTGCCACTTGCTAACACCCAAAACAGAACATGGCTCTGGTTTTCCTACCAAGATCTCGGCAACAGGATGGCTGCTGCAGCCCCTCGCTCCACTTGCAGAGTGAGAAATGTTAAAAACACCAAATTTGACTTGGTTTTGAGCCATTTATTTCTGCTGGAAGGTCCCAGCAGTGTACAGGGATGCTGGAGAACATGGGAACCCTGGCCTTGTGCCTCTCTGCAGGCAGCAGGCTCGGGCAGTGCCTCCTGTTACCTTGTTCCTGAAGGTCTTACTCGGATGCCAAGTCTCTCCTCCCCTCCTCCAGCACTCATTTGACCATGCAGCAGTTGCTCTGGCCAGCAGGAAGACAGGATTTTGGGAAAGTCCCCAAGGAACAGCTGTATCCTTGTGCTCCATAAAGTCTCACTTTCCCTCCCAATAGCTGTCTGAACAGGCTTTGTCAAGTCAAAAACATCTGGATGCCCAACACAGGAAGGAATTCCACCCCTCAGAAATGCAGCACCAAGCCCTGTTGCAGCACAGGTTGAAATGTTGGATTGCAAAGGTTTGGAAAAGCTCTAGGGAGTGGTGCAGTGCAGGGACAGAGTCCCCTGGCTGCTGGCTACACCCTGAGGGGCTGGAGTGGGAAGAGGGTGACGTTATGGGGTGGCTTTGCCCTGCAGCGACTCTACGCCAAGTGCTGTTGGAAGCAGGTCAGAATCGGTGCCGAGGCTGAGGGCCAAAGTGCATAGGCAAGTTGTGCTCCAGCTGCACATTAATCTGGGGAAAGTCATAGTTCACCCTCATGTTGGGTAATGGGGGGACATAGGGGGCAGGGATGGGGCCAATGTTGAGGGGAATGTTGTTGTACATGGGCCGGACGGGAGGGAGAGGGAAGGGAGGGTGTACGAAGGGGTATGGGGGCATCCGGGGCTGGTGGAGGTTCTGAGGAACAGGTCTAGGGATGACTTCAATTCTCTGGATTTTCTCCACAGGCTTTTCCACAGGAGGGCCGATCCGCTTGAAGCTGTTCTCTGCAGAGGGAGGAGAACAAAGAACAAGTCATCCCACAAATGAAACTCACTAACCTCAACCCATGCATGGTCTGACATTGCCATCAGCCTCCTCCATCCCCAAAATGTTCCTGAGCACTCCCCACACAGCATCACTGCTCACCACAAGCTTTCCTTCCACCTATACCACCCCACAAAGGGGGAACATCTCCTTTTGCAGCCTCTGTGCCCCCCCAGGATACAGCTGCCCCTTCTGCTGCTTTGCCAAGCGGAGACAGGTCTGTGCTTCCGTGACACCTGGTGCCACACAAGAGCTGGACACAAGCCTTGTGCCTGCTCAAGGTCCTGCACAGTCTGCAGACACCAGAGATTTAAAACTAGACTGGTTCCCAGGAGGAACAGGGTGATGGCTTGCACTCCCCTCTGGAGCAAAATTTGGGTGATGTTTGGTGCAGCACAGCAATGTATGGAGCAGCCTGCAAACAGCCAGGCCATAGGATGAATCCAATGCAGGTCCAGAGACTTGTCAGTAGCTCAGAACCCTCTGCTGTCCCATCAAACTAAATCTGATCCCAAAGCACAGCTATAGACTGTGACTTACCTCCATTCTTCTTCTTTTGCTCCTCTTCAGCCTCCTTCTGAATCTCCTGGATTATCTTTTCATCATCTTCCTAGAAATTAAAGGAGAACCAAGAGTCAGTGGGATAATTCCTCCTGCAGCAGCTTTCTGTTGTCTCAATGCTGCTTTCCTTTTCAGCACATTTGCATGGGAGAAACAAAAAAAAGGTGAACTGGGCTGAACTGTCCTTGTTTGGGACTGGCCTAGGATTAGGCAAAAGAAAGACTGTGATGGGGGAACTGCAGCACAAATAACCTGCACTCTGTGGAGTATGACCAAGAGAAGTGGATCAGCTTTCCAGGGAAATCAGCGCTAAAATGCATTGACTTGATGGAAACCAGAGAGCTGCAACCCAGCTCCACCCTCTGAAGAGCTGTTAATCTTTTAAATGGCAATAGGCTATTAAATATTTACATTATACCAGCACTTGTAGAGGTTTTGGCCCAACAGCTAGAATTAACACAACTTAAATCCTGGCTCTAGTAGCTAAATGGTGCCATTTAGATCTTATCTGTAACTCTGAGAAGGGCATAAATCCCAATATGTTTCTTTAATGTCTGTCTAGAGGTTACAGCAAGAATATTCAGAGCTGCTGCTCACTGAGAGCACAAGGATAAGGCAGAAACTGAAATTGTCCTTCTGGCTCTCCTCAGCTTCAGTTTTCTTAACTCAAAGGAACATCAGTGAGCTCAAAGGATGCAGTGAAACTTCAGGTGAGTTTCTGCACTGCAACACAGTGTAAAAGAGCTCACAGGATCACAGAGCCCTCATAGAGAGAGCTCCCTCTCAGTGCCAGGCAGCAGATGCTGCTGCTGCCATATGTGCAGCGATGGCAGTGAGGTCCTGCTGGTCCCTGCAGGGTTGAACTGCTGCTGCTTTGTGTCTGTGGGGATGAAACTCTACCTAGTGCTTTGAGAGGACAGTGTGTGGACCCTTGGTGTTAGTTATTAGGGAGGAAGGCAGAGAACAGGAGCTGTTGGATGACACACACCACCTGCATCAGGCACTCTGGGTCTCCTTGTAGCTGAAGAAGCACTTGGTTTTCTCCAGCAGCAAACCTGCCAGTGCTAACAGTAGAGCAGGAGGGAGACCCCAAGTACCCCACAAGGCACAAGACAATGTTGTTTTGCTCATCCTAATTTCAGTACTGCCAAAACACATGCATTTCTTCCTGAACACTCTTAATGTGGAAAATATCCTGTATTTTGAAAAGTGCTCTGGAATCAAATTAAAAATATGCTTAATACATGCAGCTACATTGAAATTATTTTAAGCTTCCCAGTCCCCATCTCATGGTCCTGCCTGTCTAGCAGCAATGCCTGGGAAGCTTGTGGAGAAGTCCCCTCCTCCACCACCAGATGAGGTTTCTCTGGGAGACTGAAGTTATCTTAATCTGTAGAAAGCCAAAAACTCAATACTTCCCTCCCTTTTATTATTCTGTGAGTCAATGGTTAAAATTAAGACTTTCCAGGACATGCCTTTTTTTTCCAAGCAGGCTTCTTCCACAGACTGGTAATTACAGCCTATCTATCTCCATAAAAACTGCTGAAGAGTGGCTCTTCTGAGCCTATATGGAATGTCTAACTACCTCCCAAGTATCACACTGTGATGTTCCCTGGCTGGAAAACCACCTGGGTATGGTCCACAGGCAACCAAACATCCCCTGCTCCTTTGCTGCCCCAGCAGTGCTCTCAAAGCTTCAAGACTTCATTTTTTTTCCTTCTCAGACAATTTTTTTTGCAATGCTCTTGAAACTGGAGACAGCCACCACTTCCATTTTATTGACACTCATAATGAAGCACCTGAAGGGTTTTTTTTGTTATATGATAAGAAATATATTTTAAGCTCCACCAAGCAAGATCACTATCTCCTTCCCTCACACAAAGGAACAAACCTCACCTTAAAGCCTAGAAACTTATGCCTTCTAACTCAGTCTAAAGTAAAAGGTTTAATTTACAAGATTATGGAAGAAACTGTTCCCTGTGAGGGTGCTGAGGCACTGGCACAGGTTGCTCAGAGAAGCTGTGGCTGCCCCATCCCTGGAAGTGTTCCAGGCCAGGTTGGATGAGGCTTGGAGCAACCTGGTCTGGTGGAAGGTGTCCCTGCCTGAGGCAGAGGGTGACCTTTAAGGCTCCTTCCAACGAAAACCATTCTCTGACTGTAATTAACCCTCTGAAATGATGCTTCCCAGGGACACCACTCTCCTGCCAGCACAGCCTGCGACACTGCAGCTTCACTCAGTCCTGCACCAGCCTGGGGGAAACAGACATACCAACAACACAACTTTACAAGATCCTCCTGCTGCGAGGGCTGCTTGACCCTCCCAGTTTAAACTGCAGCTGACCTCCCACTAATGGGCTGGACACAGCCATCTGCCCCGGGGCCAGGAGCCAGCTGCAACCCCCCAAGGTGATGCTGCCTCCAATTACTGTGGCTCCTGGAGCACTGGGGAAACATGGAACAGCAAACTCCATCTGCTAGACCTCCAAAACGACTCCTAACTCCCAAGGACAACATAAAACACACCTCCCAAGTGCAGTGGCCAGAGATCCCCACTCAACACCAGCCTCTCTTGAGTTTCAAGAGGTGCACAGCTCACAGCACACCCTGGATGCAAAAACCTGCCAGGAACAGAGCTGGATCAGGATGAGTTCCCGACTAGTTCTGCGACTGCAAATCACAGCAGAAGTACAACAAACCACATCACCACATACAGAATTTATCAGCTCTGTTGCTTCTCTGCTGATAAAAGTGTATTTTCCTATTGGAAGATTAAGAAGTGCTTACTCTTAATCCCACATACCAAGTCTTGGCTTGGAATTTTTTTTTTACATCAGTATTTCTCAAAAACTGGTATCCATTAATATTGAAACACCAAAAATACACTGCACAAAATGCACTTTCCTACTTAAGAGGCTGACATTAACTTTGGCAAGTGATGAGCACACAGCACCATTCAATACCTGCAGTATTTAGGGAAGATCCACATCCCAGACAGAACAAAGGAATTGATGATATGTAAACAGCAAGGTAATTTTAGGATGTTCCTGAAGGAAAGCTGATGCCACAAGTTCTGCCTAATACATATTGTGCAGGTCAGAATTAAAATAAATCCCCAAGTTCTAGTACTATTTTAGTGAATTTTGAAAAACATCTCCAATTCTTTGGAAGCAGAGGCTGGTTTTTGATTCCACAGTAATTGGAGAGAGATGACAGAGTCACTGAGGGACAAAGCATCCACACCAAAAACTGAGTTTTTATCAACACACTAGTTTTGTGGTGAGAAATCCTTTAACATCACATGGAGGTGGAGGCTGCAGAATGATTTCAAAAGCTTCTTGTGTCCCTTTTCCTGAGGAAGTTCAAGTCCCTTAATAAAGGATTAGATTATAAATTTAATAGCCTGTTCACAGGCTGTGCAAATTGAAGGGATTTATCTTGTCAAGTTAACAGTCATCTTCCTGTCAGCTGCCTTGCCTGCAGCAAGAAAAAACCCTAGAAATAAAGAAGAAAAAGAAAAAAGCAACCCCCCAAGCCCTGGGGGGGCCTCAGCCTGTATGCTTTTTGAGCAAGGCAGTAACTTGGCTCTTCTCTGAGAGAGGAAACACAGGGCAATGTGTGGCCCTTCCCCACACTCCGCTGCATCACGGGAGAAGGGAGGTGGCCAGGAGGAAAATGCAAAGGATCTCTGAGATGTATTCATCCTTTTTATCTGCAAACACTGCAGAAAGCAAACGTGGTTATTAACAGCAGCTGCGTTTTTAAGTGGAAAAACAGGACCAAGCTCTGCCCCAAACTCAAGAGCAGGATGCCCTTTGCAGGAGCTATCCCAGTCCCGCAGCCAAACCCCATAAATGTTCATCCCTGGGTAGTGTGGGAGCCTGCCCCTGCCATCCCCCAGCTGGGAAGGGATCTCGGCACGGAGGAGGCTTCTCCTTTCAGCCCTCTCCCATTGAATCCAGGGAATGCGGTGAGCTCGGAGCCAATCACAGCAGCACGGACGGCTCGGGCTGTGGATGGATTAGCCGGGGAGCTGGGCTGGGTTGCTAAGTGAGGCACCTTTCCATGGCAGGGAGGGCCCGTTCAGCAATGCTGGTGCAGAGGAGCCACAGCAGCATCCGCACAGGGCCCTGCCACGGGCAGACAGAGCCCAAGGAGAAACAAACTGCCCTTGGGAACGAGAAAATACAGCAGCAACCGAGATAACAGCTCGGCAAGACACAGAGACAACCTCCCCCCAGACAAAGCCTCCTCTGCCCAGAACTGAAGCGCCATCCGGGGAGCTTTTGAACGCCCTGTTTTTATCTCCTGCACTTCTCGTTATCTTTAATTATTAAGTGTCACAGGCAAGCGGCTGCTGCCGCCTGAGCCAGGGAAAACAAGCGACCTGGAGACTATTTCTGGGCTGTGCAATCCCTCCCCTGACTTTAGAAAGTGCTTCACCACCGCTGCCTCCCCCTTTCTGCCTCTTTGCTGCTCCTTTTTTCCACGTACATGTGGCTGCAGCCGTTCCTAATAAACTTGAAATGATTTTTCACGACGGAGGCTTCCAAAGGACTAAGGGGTTTTGTTTCAAATCATTCCCAGATCAGCTGCGGAGAGCCTGAGCAAGAACAGGCATGGGCTGTCTCTGGCGTGTTCCTCCATGCAGCAGGAAGCAGGGATGAAAGCAGGCAGTGTTGTAACTGGAACAGAGCATCCGCAGTGCTGCAGGAAAAGGGGGGCCGGGATGGGGATGAGGCACATGCTGCTGTTTAAGAAATGCAGAGTTATTTCAGCAACAGGCATTCCATATCCATGGCTTTCTGCGAATTCCCTGGATTAACCATATGCTTATGATTGAGGCATTTTATAGCAGTTAAAAAAAAAAAATAAACCAACAAAACCTATCACAAACTCCACATCCTAAATTCAGGGGTGATTTCCCCCCCCAAATCCTACAGGCAGGACTATGCACTTTGTGCATTGCATTAATGCATTTGAAGTTTTACACAGTCTTCACTCAACATCATCTTTTTATAACACCAGAAGGAGGGATAATTGCAAACACCTCATGATGATTAGTCTTTGGCTTTGAACTTTAACAACAGGCCTTTGGGAGGGTTTGAAGAGTTTACTGAAAACATCTTAAACTTTAAAGCCAGAAAAAAAAGCCTCTGTGCAGTATTACTGATAGCCCAAAGATGACTATTAAATTCAAAATAATACATTGGAGAGCAGAACTTGGTTTACCAAAACAGTCAGAATGCATCAATCAATTTGCACCATGGGATTTGTAAAAAACTGGGTAAAATGCACACATCAGCCCTGGGCTTGCTACAGATACTTAGAAATCAGGGCAAACCGTTCCCATAGCCCAGAGCCATAGAATATTCTGAGCTGGAAGGAACCCACAAGGATCAGAGTCCAACTGCTGACCCTGCACAGGACAACACAACAATCCACCATGTGCCTGAGAGCATTGTCCAAACACTCCTTGAACTCTGTTAGGTTTGGGGCTGTGACCACTGTCCTGGGGAGCTGTTCCAGTGCCCAAACCAAACACCTGGGAAGAACCTTTTCCTAATATCCAACCTAAACCTCTCTTGACAAAGCCATTCCTTTGGGTTTTGTCACTGGTCACAGAGCAGAGACCGGTGCTGCCCTTGTGAGGAGGCTGCAGACCCTGTCTAACCCCCAGGCTGACCAAACCCAGTGACCTCAGCCACTCCCTGCATGGCTTCCCCTCTGGACCCTTCACCATCTTCATAGCTCTCCCTGGGATGCTTTCTAATAGCTATATTCCCACTGCTCCATCCCAAGCTCTGTCTCTGGCAATATTGCATCAGCCCCTCCTGAAGCTCTCAGCGAGCAGAGCTGGAGCTCAAATGGGCTGCAGGACAGGCACGTGAGGACCTTTGGGCAAGCAAGTTCCTGGGAAGAGCTCCTGGCACATGTTCATCCCCTACAGGGGTGCAGGGCACCGATTAGCTCCAGAAAAAACAGTGATGAAGCGATTCCTGCCTGCCCCCCTGGAAGCTGCTGACCACAGCCCGACTGCAGCTTGTCTTGGAGCCAGCAAATATTGCACTGATGCTTTTAGTCTCCAGCCTGATTACAGTGTAGGGACAAGATTTTAACTAACCTTCTATTATGGGAAATTTTGAAGCATCTGCTTTACTCTCTCAAGATCGTTTGAGACCAAGACTAACAGATGCTGCAGTTCCTAGAGGACTGTCTTTAATTTGTTTCTAACCCAAGCTAATGAATAGGTTTACTTATACTTTCACAAGAATCATTTCAGACTTGGAAAACACTAAACATGTGGAAAAGAACAAAGGTTCCCTATTTAAAAAAAACAACTTTATTTTGCTGTAAATAATGGAGAGTTAGACCCAAACCAGATCCTTCAAAAGATCCACCCCTTGGATAGACATCATCCCTGGCAAAGGATGCCTACTACTGATGCAATGGTGTTTTGCTCTTTCAAATTCCCATATCAAGACTCAAATTCCTTTCCTCTCCTCACACCTACGAGGATAACTCCTGTTTCCATGGTCCATACAAAGACCAACCAGGAGGGACTGGGATGGTGTCACTAAGCCCCTTATGAAAGGAGATAATGCACACAGGCCACTCACATCATTTCAGCCTTAGAAACCAACAGTTGAGTTATTCTTCGCATCCCAGTGAGGACAGTCACCCAACTTCACCTCCCCAGCCCACCAGTGCTCCATCATCCAAAAAGAAATAAAAACAAAAGAGAAGTCAGTGCCAGCTCTGTGCTGACAGTGGGAAATTTTCCTTTGCCACAACATTGGTTAATTAGAGAGCTGGAAAGGGCCTGGTGACAGTGGCCTCTTTGTGCTGCTTATTTATTTATTTATTTTAAAGTACAGTACAAGCATTTTGAGAGGCCTCATGTTTTCTCTGGCTCTGAACAAATGCCATCACCCAGCACAATCAGCAGCCTGATGGGAACAACGGATGCCAGCGCTGCCGAACCCTGAATCGCATCCTGGTGGAGAACAGGGAAGAGTGGGACAGGAACCTGAGAAGCACGTAATCAGGTGTTGGAAACGCTACAGGGGTGTCTGGAAGGAGGTGTCTGTGTGTAGTTTAACAGCTCACATTGACAGGATGAAGCAGGGAATAAAAGCAGGGAAGCAGAAGACTAGGAAGTTCATGCTGGTTGCGACATGCTGGGAGCTCCCCAAGAGCCTGCAGGTAGGAGGAAGAGATTTAGAGTGGCTTTTCCCTGGATCTGTGCAGGCACAGGACTGTGCACATCCCCTGCAAAAAGGGGGGCTGGGAGCAGCCTGAAAAGCTGCAGCAGCCTGAGACAAAGAAGTGCTGAGAAAAAGGAAGCTCAGACAAGCCCCAGGAAAGCATATCCACATTCATGTTGTTCTACTGCTTTGCTGAAATCAGGAAATTCAACTCCTGCTCCTACCAACACTCCTGGATTTCTGGTATTGAAGACCTCTAGTTTACAGAGATGCTGCAGCAAGTCTTCCCATGCGTGCCACAGCTACAAGCTGTATTAAGTTACTACAGCTTCCCTCACAGTTCATTCCATGCTTCAGTTCTCCCTTTGCAGCTGTTGACAACAGCCATTGAGAACAGACCCAACTACAACTCCAGGCCATTGGCTTGCAGGCACTTTTCCAATGGGTCCATGTCTGTGATAGGACTCAAACAGCATTTGGATGACCTGGGCACCAAAACCAAAACTCCCCTTGCCTCTAGATCCAAAGCAATACCAACAGCACCTCAGCTGCAAAATATAGGAAAAAGCCCCACTAATCCCAACACTAGCTACCATGCCTGATGTCAGCACACATTCCCCATCAAGTCTTTCCACAAGCCTCACTCCCCAGAACAGCACTCAGAGCACTTCCAGCCAAAGCCCTTATCTGACAGAAGCTGTTTTTCCCTAAAGCAACACCATCTCCTTCCAAGCTGTGGTCAGATGTGACTGTGCTGATGCAGGATCCTGCAGTGTGGTTTTAGCTGCCTTGGGAAAGGAAAAGTGCTGGCTAAAAACACGCGTTTTCCTCTGGTGCAAGGTTGGAACAGTAATTGAAATCAGGGTGAGAATCATTCACAGAAGTCCTTCATTACTTACTGTGGGATCTGTCCAGAGAGAGCACTTGGCACAGTCCTGGCAGGGTGCCCCAGGGGAGCGTGGGTGCTGGCAGAAGTGGTCGTAGCCGTTGATGGCAGCGCGGCAGAGGTAGCACATCTGGGCACCGCAGCGGCAAGACATGCGGTTGCAGCCCTCGGATTTAATCAGGCCAGTCCCACACTTGTGGCACTTCCTAATCCGGGCAGCTGTCATCTTCTCTTCTCTGCAAGAGGAGGGAGAATTAGCAAAGGGGTGTTTGCACTCACCAGCCTGTGGTAGAATTACTGTTACACTATCCCAGCGATGCTTTAACCCCTCTCCTCTTTCCTCCTACGCCATCCCCACGGTCTACCACTGTTCCAAGGAGGTCTGGGCTCAGCTCCACTTGGAACCAGCCCATGACAACTCAAGAACAAAATAGGTGGAAAAAAGTCCACCACTGGCTGCATGCTGCAGCCCCAATCCTGGTTTCCATGTGAACCAAAGCACCAGGCTCTGGCTTGGGAGGAATTTGAGCCACAAGTTCAAGGGCCAAAGGGCACATGGATGCTTGACTTGGCTACGGAAAAATACAGCCAGGGAGATAAAGTTCAGGGAAAGCAAACCCTTAGCTGTCACCTCTAGCTAGTTTTATGTTTGCCTGTTGCTCTGGCTACAAGTTGCCATGGCCATATATTTTTTTTCCAAGCCTGGCTGCTACACTTCAGTTTTATTTGATTTTCCTTAAATTTAAATCTGTAACTGAAAAATAATCACATCTTTCCCCACAGAGACTGGGTTTTCTTTTTTCCCCTTAGATTCTCTGCACACATTTTCCAGAGGTTATTGCTTTAGGTTTAAGAGATGGGTTTATTCTCACAGAGCACCAATGGGAATCCAGGACAAAGCACAGTCCTTGTCCCTAAGGGACATTCTGGCAGTGACATATACTCCAGCACAGGCTCAGCTCGCAGCAATGCTATTTTGGCACGGAACTGGAGGAAAGCCTCAGTCATTTAATTAAAAGACTTAGGAATATAAATTATCATCCTAAGGGCCAATTTTCTGACCGTTGGAGATCACGTTACACTTTAATTCACAACCTAGAAGTGAAATTTGATGACAGAAGAGCAAAGAGTGTGTTTTCATGGAGGGAAGCACAGCTCTCCTGCTACGCTGGCCTGGCAGTGGGGAAGGATCATCCTTAGCCAGGCATCTCCACCCAGAGACTTCAGTGGATCTGCAAAGTCAACATACGTGTGGGGAGATGGCAGGGAGGTATTTTGGAGGATCACAGCAGCAAACCAGGATACAAACTGCTCCATCAGCACAAGCAGAGGAGCAGGGAAGGGTGAGGTGGGAACTTCCCTGCCTTGCAGCCACCCAAAGCTCCCACGCAGTTATACCCAGCAAGACCTGCACCCAAGCATGTGGAGATGGGCTAAGAATAGAAACAAAAAGCCCAACTTGAGACTGACTTTCCTCTGAGCTGCAGCTGCTCTTCCCTCTGCTCCTCAACAGGATGCTGCCGATGCAGATTTCTTTTTTGGAAACTTTGAGCCAGGCAGGAAGCTTGGCCTGAACTCCAGCTGTGCTTCCCTTTCCTTACACAGGGCTTCAAAAGGAAGTTTTTATTGTATCAGCAGTTAGACTCATCTAGCCACAGCAATGTGCTGCTAAAGGTTTTGAAACTGGTATTTTTTCCCTTATTAGGGACATGACAACTCGCTCCTCTTCCCTTTCTTTCCTACAGCGAAAGCAGTGGCAGAGAAAAGAAGTCCTATCGAATCTATAAAGATTTTGTTCTGAATTAGGGATGTGGGATGAGCAAGCAACAGTCATTCAATTCCCAGTGGTAGAGCTTTCCAACCTCTACCCATGCCAGACACTCTAAATCAGAGGAAAGGATTGGGCAATATGGGCAGGTCCCACTTGGCTGCACCAGACATGTAACTCCATGGATGAACCTTCCCTTGTTTCCTAAAGGCAGAGAATTTTGTCATTTACTGTAACAAGAGATCAAACTACAAGAGATTTTAGGGAAACAGTTGGGATTTACACCTGTGGATTTCAAAATGTGACTCCACTCTGTAACAATTCCTACAAACTGGTTAGAAACAGGGATAAGCTTTGGTAAGAAAACACATCCTCTCCCACAAAGCCAGAAAGCAACAGCCGAGCAAACCATGCAGGTCTCTGCTCCAGACTTTCAAAGGGTAATGACGACTTACTGTGACTTAAATCCACTTATTTGCCTCCTTACAACACCTTCCTTCTCCCCCCCAGCAATGCTAATGGAGGTTTCTCACCTCTGAGAAGACCAGGTGCCAGCCTGTGAGACACTGGGCCAGCCAGAGGAGCAGGCTGGGCTGGTGACAACTTTCCCACGTTCTCAAATTACCAACTGGATCTGCTGCCAAGTATCTTTCACAGACAGAAATCCCATCCTGGGAGCTGTCTGACCCTTCAGCTCTGACATCCCTAGGACCTTCCTGTGGAAGGTAGTGACACCCAACAGAAATTTAGGGCCTCTGCTAGTCAAGGACAGAGATGTGTCTCACTCCCTCCACACCAGACACCATCGCCCAGTGTACTGTGATTACCAGTTCATCCACATCCCTGTTGTTCCCTGGTGGTAGAGTTCACTTACATGGATGTCCTGTACTTGATGTCATCCTTCTCAGCCAGCTGCTCACATGTGAGGTTCATGTGCTCCTTCCACAGCCCCTGGCACTTCCGACATGTTTCCTGAGGAGGATAACAAGCATGAAAGGAACTTTCCCAACATCACTATAAGCATTAGGAACTGGAAAAATTCCCATCTTTCCCCCCACCGAACTGCAGGTTCTCAGTTGAGGATGGGGCTGGCAGTATGGCACAGGGGTCTGCAGGTCTGTCCTCTGCTGGAGGCAGAGTAAGTCCATAAATAATTGGAGCCAAGGGTCTTTCCAAGGCACAAGAAAATGGATGCATAAATCCATAAATCCTAATTCACCTAAAACTCACTGGACAGCTACCAGGTTCACATCCTGGAGGAGACTGCAGAGGTGAAAACATGGTGCTAAAAGACATGAAGTTTATCTGTTTCCTGACCAAAATCCTTCTCCTCCTCTTAGTTCTGCTGGCAATGGAAACCTTGCAGCTGCATCAACTCTGCTTCACCAGCCATACAGCAAACATATATATTACATATATACTGTTTTGTAAAACATCACAAAACTAAGTTCAAGCAGATTATGTGAGTGAACAGCTTAAAAAGACAGAGTGTGGACAAACATCATAAAACATACGAACAAATATTTATGAATTTAACCAAAACAGCTGAACTAAACTTTGAGCAAGTGACTGAACTCTCCTATTCTTGCAAACTCTAGCACGAGGCTCTAATCCAGGACTGGTAAAGCTGCATGGAGCAGGATTGCTGTGGAAGCACTACTGGCAAGAGAGCTTGGACCAACACTGGGGACAGAGCTGATTTTTTTGGTTGGCTGGCCAAAGAAAACATAATTTTGTTTTGGGTCAAACAAGAGATTTTTTCCTTTAATTTGAGGAAGATTAAAAAACATCCAAATCAAACTTGAAAAAAGTACACATTTCACAATCCAACTGTTTCATCTTCAGGATGGCTGGGGCTCAGGCTTTCAAATCCAACTTTCCCTCTCAGCAGG